CTAACGCCAAGCATTACCGAAACCCTGAACTTTTACCTTGATCCATAACCCTAACCCTATTTGTATTTGTGTAATTTGTCCTGTGTTTTTAGGTTATATTTCCGAATTTGTTATTCTTCCTTTTATCTATATTTTTTATTGTTTTCCGTTAGAGGGAATTATTTTTTTCATGTTCGGATTTGATTTGTGGAGAAGGAAGTGCTTATGCAGTGTGTGCGTTATTTTTGTTTTCGATATTCAGAGAAAATGTTCTAAAAGAATTGATAAAATGATGAGATTGCTCGTTGTCTCAAAGTATTCAAAGCCCGCTTTTAGCACCGTACGGTTTGTTACCGAGGACGTGGACGTTGTATAAATTGTTGAGCTGCTCCAGAATGATAAATGTGAGTACGGTGTGAGGTCCAATGCGGAAAAGATAAGGGGTAAAGCCCTTCCACAATGCCGTCACCCCCTCCGACTTCACTGTGCGGCTCAACACATCCTAAGTGAATAGGATGCAAAGGGAGAGGGATTTTAAAAACGTATTCTCAATGCTGCCACTTTACGCACACACGTTTGGTAGGAAGAGTGCGATGTGTCACTCAATGCGCATGATGCATCCCATGCATCAGCAAGTGCACAATCTACCTAGGGAAATTTTGAAACCACTAAATTAAAACATCAGTAGGCATAAAAGCTTCTTTTTAAAGTGGAAGAAACATCCATTATAAATGCATGAAATAGAATTGTTGAAAACAGGGAATAACATTTACTGATCTCCTTAAAATACTGAATAATCTCAGTACGCCAAGCAGCCGATTTCATAATTAGGCATGAAATGCTCACGTTTTTGTAAACATGTCATAATGGCTAGTGTGAAGGTCTTGAGTGGACATATAACTTACAAAGATACCGGAGTACTCAGGGCGGCCATTAATAGTGCGCATGTTTTGGATGCGTGTCTTGGCGATGTCCACGGGTAGAGAAGCGATGGTGGTAATGAGGGCAGAGCACATGCTCGCCGTCAGGTGCAATCCGAAGCCGTCTTGCATAAGTTCTGCCGAGATTAAAGGAAAATACTGCAGAGAGTGTGAAGGTGTGGAGGGGTGTGGCGGAAATACAGCAGGTTAAACTCCACAACCTACCACTTTCTAGAAGGATCTGCTTGAACTGCGAGTAGGAGACCAGTTGGGCCACGTTCACCACTGCCGCTCGACCCATCGTCGGTAAAGCACCCTATGTAATAGAGTCAACCCTTAATGTAACTCCTAAAAATCAAACAGCTTTGTTCCAGAGGAAATAAACTAATGTTGCCATAAGATGTAAATAAAATGGGTAAGAAGTATAGCAGTGTTCCATCGCTTCCCCTGAGTTTTCCACTAAATTCATTTCGTTTACCTCAATGCAATTTCACCAACTTTTTCCGATCTTGAAAAGAGTTGGAACGTCAAATTTGAGACTCTTTTACTGATAAAATATTAGACCCAACCCTACTGACGCAAACAAAACATTGTAGTTTGGTTGGGATGTTTTACAATCTTGATAAAAACATCCATCGTCCAGATGAATAATTGAGGCAACAGTCAATAAGCGGCATAAATTTGAAGGAAAACAAGTGAAAATTTTGATGGTGGGAAGTTAAACATTAGATAAGGAAGTTTTTCACTGAAATCATCTATCCATAAAACAATTGCAACAACGTCAATTGTAATGACTTCTGATGGAAAATGAAACATGGTTTGAACTTGCGAGTTATCTTTCCAAATACGCCCCAACCAGTGTCCAAGCATAACTACAAAATAACCTTTTCAAGGTCAAATATTGTGGTGTCAAGTGCATGCGAACTGAAAACTGAACTAAAGTGCAACTGGCTCACCTTTTGCGGACTAGAGAAGTCATCAGTGCCTTAGCGTTAGCCAAAAAGAAGTTTCATCGGTAAATAATGTAGGGGGTAGATGAACAAATTTCCCAAAAAAGTGTGGAAGTGGTGGATCATAAAGATGAAGTACAAAAGTACAGCGTGGAACATAGATCGCTGTCGACCATCAACTTGGGGACTTCGTGAGACAACGCTATTGAAATAGCAATGGCTTGCATAGAGCAAGTCATGACGTGTTGGTAGACCACGACTCACACAAGGACCAGTCGAACACAGATGCCTATTATGCGATTAAGCAATCCAGCATACCTATTTAAATACCTGAAGACAAGGAAGTGCATTATGATGAGCTCAGCAATAGACAAAGAAGGGCAGAAAGTAATTGCTGGATGGAGTGAAAACCTAGTATTTTTCTTCCAAAAAATACCAAACAATTTAAAACGAAAACGTAAGCGGAACATTCGAATCGGCAACCTTACGAACACATCCAAGGTTACTGTTGCATTGCTTTTGAAACGAACACCGCCGATTTTGAACATTGTTATGAAAGTGACTAATAAATGGAGGAATGCTACTTATTCAGCCAGTAGGGTAAACGCAAGGACAGCATTTCAGTAAACCAAATTAGCATGTGGGCATGCTTGGCATTTACGAATGAGGACAATGGAGAAGACGCACCCTCCAAAGAGCGAAGAGACCCTCCTCTTTGTAGATTCGATAAAGGGCGTTGAAAACATTGGTGTAGTTCCTTCGTTGAGTCGCTGGCAGTCTGAGCAGGAAAACAATGAAGGCGATAAAAATTCATTCCAGCCCCGATATATCGAAAGTGGCTGTTGAGTAAAGTGAAATGGTAAATGTACAAATATAAAGACCAGTTATATAGCAATAATACCATCCGTTTATCAATAGTAAAGTGTATTTGATGCACTTTCCAAGAAGACTATTAAAACACTCTGCATGGCAGGAAGCATTAAGCGTGTACAATTAAGAAGCATTCCGTTAGACTGCTCAAGCACGACTGTGGAAATGGCAATGCAGCTCGTAACGAAGTAACTTAGATGAGACCTCACACCATCCCTTCGGTAAAAACTCATTTACTTCATGATACGTGAATCATCCATACAGCGGTTTACTATCCATGCAGGGAGAACTGATAAAAATGGTCACTTTAATAACCCATTCCATAACCAAATCAGATGAATGGATTTGGATAAGAAACGGATAAATTGTCCAAATGACGCCACCTAGAAACTAGAAAAACGCTTATTCACTCGCTGAAATCTGGGAGGTTGCGCAATCATGATGGCTAAAAATGGCTTCGAAAACTGGCGTCTTCAAGTTAAGCCAGTGCAGACCCCGCATTCAGTTCCGGTCAATTAAATTTGGTATATTAATGAAACAGACAAAGGCGGAGTGAACCTGAGCAAGTTTCAGCACACCCATACAGTTTAAGTAAACATTTCGACGATGAAATGGTGCCTGGTACAACATTCGTTATCGTCCACATGGCGTAGCAAGCGACATTTTCGACATAAACACAGAGATGTGAAACGAATTGATAATGGTGTAAAGTTGGGAGAGTCTCGTTAACAACCTAATTGCAAACTAGTGATAAATACGAAAGATGATCTAGTAGAAATTTTAAAAACTGAAGAAGTTTGTCACAACACTAAGACTAAAAGAATGACGAGTCCCCATTTCTGCACTTAAATATTGTAAATGTAAGAACAATAGCCCATTCGGTATTACAGTCAACTTGAATTGAAAGGCCAAAAAATGTGAAAACTGCATTGGAAGCACTTCCATTGAATGTGTCAGAAACTGGTAAATACTATGCAAAATGGAGTTAAAAGGGACCAAAAGCTGCTTAGCAGATTTGAAACAAGTCCCAAGCGAACTGTTAAGCTTTAAAATGATTCCACTGGTTTTGCAAAATGAATGGTTTAGCTAAATACACCACTTCCGTAGTAGTTATTCTGACCTGCATGTAGAAGAACACGCGGCTTTCAGGACAAAATGACCTGGCAGAGAGAATAAAAAACATTACAAATCAGTCAAAGACTGAATTCACTGCAAGCCGCTAATTAGCTAAAGCAATTTTGCAAGCCAAACACCCCCCATTAATGCACCACTGGGTTAGGATTCGAGGAAAGCATAAATATTGAAAGCACGTGAGAATTAATGAGAAAGATGAGCGTATTAGTATGCAATGCTAGTAAAAGCTGGAACATTCGGTCGGCAGGAGCAGAAAATAGTGGGTAAAGCAAATGGAAATGCAGGTTGTAAAATCTTTTCGAAAGATAGACATTCAACATTTTTGAAAAAGACATGCGAAAGCGGGCTACAAGGTATTAACAATAGGGGGACATACTTGCCGTCAGCAGTCATGCGGATAAGGCAGACCTCGGTTGGGGTGCCAACGAAGGAACCGAGGACACCAGCGGTAAGGCCAATACACATCTTGGCCAGGAAAGAGGGTGGACCGCCCGATTGTGAGCGAGAGCTGACGTACTCAAAGAGGCTCGTGTAGATGCCCAGTCGAGCCGTCGTGTATGTTGCCTGTCGCAGCAGCGCCGCCGACAACCTGCAGATGGGAACTGATTAGGAAACAGTGCAGACGAACAGATCGACCAACTAAGTGCAACTAATTGGATTTAGACAGACAAAAGTATACGTTGCGAAAAGGAGGAGGATGCCCCCGTTAGGAATAATACTCGATCATGAGATCAAAAATAATCAAATATTGCTGGAAATTTCTACAAAAGGCCACAAACCGTCCACATTAGAAGCCGATAATGGTAAGGGTCATAATTCCACATTAGTTAGAACTGCGCAAACTTCTGAAACATTGCTAATTATTGGACTAGATAGAAGGTTTCCACATGCACGGGGAAAGAAAAGAGGAGAGTCCAGTAACTAGGTTGGTATCTGCAGCGTTCAGACCAGCAAAAATCAGAGTTTACAGTGACCTTAGGGACGCGTCACATCATAACATAGCAGTATTATGATGGATGCCTGCAAGCATAAACAGGAGAGCGCATCAGTTGAAAATTCACAAGTGCAACCAGCTGTGTGCCAGTCCAACCAGCACCATGAACAAACAAACGTTATTGATCCACTGGACCACAACTGCATCTATTCCAAATGTACGAGTTTGGTGCGTTATTCGCATTTGTAGACCCCTCAACACTAAGCCAGTTATAGGCAGAATGGGGGAATAGTAGCGCAAGCAGACGCATTCGAAAGGTGGTGATAGCTATGAGCTGGCTAGAATGAATAGGCAAACCAACCCAGTGTAGAGTTTGAGGGCGCCCTCCTGCCTGACGATGGTACGGATGGCATGGGAGGTGCTGTCGTAGACCTTCGCGGTACCACCCTCGCCTTCAAAGGAAATAGGCATTTTCACCACCACCGCCCTTTTTGTTCTCTTTTTCTTTAAAAGTCCCAATTTGCAGTACAAAAGGCGTAGGCCTATCAGCAAAAAGTTGCTTCCACAGACTAGTATTCGTGTAAGCATGAACTCTCATCACGAAACGAAAGAAAATAAAAATAAGATCGAAACCGGAGGCAATAAAATATGGATGTAATAAACAACAAATGTAGCAAGTAAAAGCGAAAGATTGATTTTATTATGGGAGAGAATGACATTTCAATGAAACGAAATAAGGTAAGCCTTGATTGGCGTATTTCTCGGTAGATACTATAGCACACTTTGATAGAAAGGCTACGATGTGAATGGGATAAAATGACAGATAATGCACAGCAATCAGCCAAGGTAATTTTAGAACATCTAATATTAGGTTCATTTGAGATAAAAACTCGGTTCACTTCTGTTACGTGAAATTTGTGTTCAGGAATAACAACTTCGTTTCATTGGAAATGAGCACAAACGTAAATTATTATAACGCATTAGATGACGTACCGCTGACTTGGAGGCGTGTCTTCACCAGATCGAGCGGCTGAACGACACACGTTGCCATCATGCTGAAAGCATCTGTAATTTTAACTATTGTTTTTCTTCCTAAACCAGTTGCTCTATATTTTCGGTGTGTAAAAAGGTACACAAGACTATAAAATGAACTTTTCAAGATGTAGACACCTTACATGGACGAGCATATCTGAAATCAGTGGCAATTTAGAAGTGATTGAAATAAACCTCATAACATGGGAGTACGTTTATAAAAACCTTTCGTTCTAATTCACCGGAGACTAAAAACATTATACCAAAACAAAATTTCTACAAAATAAACGTTTAGTTTATCAGACCATTACAAACTAAGACAGGATGAACCCAATTAGGCGATGTACAACAATGGCCTCAACAAAAGCTAGACATGGTAGTGATACTTTAATAACGTTGTAATTCAAAATGAAAAAAATAAAAAGCGGATACCCAGCAGAACCACCGAGGACGAATTTCATATACTTAGGAATGAGTTTTTGTGTTCTCTCTGACATCTTCAAATAGATCAGCGAAAAAGCCGACGCAAGTTAACTGCTCGGACACTATTTCAAACAGTAAAACAACGGCACAAATCAATGGACTCATGTCAAAACCATAGTTTATATAAAAAAAGGAAAATCGCTAAGAATTAACTATGACCTAATATTGTGAGTAGAAATTTCTATTGACAGCAGTCTGTGCAAGGTATTGGTTATGGCAATGCTCATAAATATCAAAGCGTTCATTTTGAGTAATAACAAAATGATGAAAACTAATAAAAAATGACAAAAATTTTTAAAGTTCATGTTTTTTGATGTTGCTTAATTTGTTGCTCTGATTACCATAAAATTTCACTTAAGTTGAATACATTGGGGCATCTACGATACTCTCATTTTTACAGCAGATTTTAGGATGCCAGGGTGCCATAAGTGATAAACCTGCCTAAATTTTTATTTAAAAGTCAAAAATTTACTTGGTCTTGTCCCGAGTTTCCGCTGAGTTGGTAGAGATGCAAAATGTTGTGGAAGAAAATATGCAAATAATAAGCAAAATGGATGTGAGACCGTTAGCGCGGCCCAAACGCAATTGTAATGTAATATTTGGGGAGTCACTCGTAATTTAAGCCGCGCCAGTAGCCATATTACTTTATGCATGCCGAAAATATTGATATTCTGTCCGTGCATTATGCCTTCTTTCGTCTTTAGCAAGTCTGGGGACGCTACACAATGTTTTAGCGGATGATAATATTTGACAAATGTTACAGCATCCTACAAACGTTTATAATTAAAAGGACGAATTGTTTAATTGATTTCTTAAAATGTTTTAAGAGACCTTACTAAGACTTTTTAAAAGCTGAGCAAATGCAGTTTTCTGACCCATAATTGGTTAACTGGTACATTTATCCCCAAAAGTCTTAATCAAAGCATCTAAGTTAATGCATCGAGCAGCTTTTATGCATATTTCCGATATTGTACTCTCGCTGAAACCTTATATTAATGAAATCAAACCTGATCTTCTGCTGGGAAACCAAAGCAGAATTTATGAGAAGTGAGCTATTGCTTTATTAACCTTGGGGACCAGTTTCACTAAGATTATCTATCTAATTTCTAGGTGGTAGCTGACTTATTTATGTCAATTTACCGATTCAACCTTCAGTAATAAACACTGGCCAACTTGTGCATCTCAGTGACTTTTAAAATCCAAATTCGAGTCCCTTGTACCGGGAACCATATCATCACAGTTGGAGATCAAGGTTAGGGCTGTACAACTAATTACACGTAAAAAAGATGCTGGCTTTTAAAACACGTCAGTTTTAAACCGGATACTGCTTATTGACTCTTGTGTAGCCATCCCTAAACACGTATTTTTACTACTCACATAAGAGTAAATAAATAAAATCACTTACTTCATTATATAGCGCTTCGTATGAATTGCATAAAACCGGGTGCGGATCAGACGCAAGGGTCAATTTAACTGCGGCACAAATCGCTTGTGCGAATCCGCACTCAATGCCTCTCACCTGATTTAGAGACTGGAGGGTTTCAGCAGCACCTACGATGCTGTCATGCGGCTATAATGTGTTGAAATACGTAGCCTACTCACTTTACCACCTGTAACCTATGAACTCGCTCCTTTCAGTATCTAGAATAAGCTCCTTGCTTAAGGCCTTTTTCTCCTTCAGATTAGGCAATTACCAAATGAAAATACTTCCTCGCCCTGCTTGCGCTGAATGTAGCATAAAACTGCAACCATAAGTCAGGTTAATAGAAATTTGCAATTTACGATCATGAAACCGCAATTTAAAACCGAAATAAGTTAACACTCCGTAAATTTTTAATCACCTTAACCGACATTTAGGATCGAGAATGATGTGCAGAGTTGGGATATGCTGCTGAAGCCACTTTTAAAAGACCGATAATTATTTGAAACTGAGATAATTCTGGGCTTTTGGGGGTTTACATTTGTATATTTCTACCGTTAACATCTGTCATTTTCTTAATAAAGAGATAGGTGCTCATGATGACCATGAACTTTTGAAAATCGTTACTTACTCTTCATTCGCACAAATGATTTCCTTTTGACACATAAATGTGAACTGCTTTCATAAATTCTTTTCGTGTTAATATGTCATGTGTATGTAATTCGAAAGTGAGACAGGTATTTGGATTCTTATTTGTTAACTGTGATTTGGTTTTTTTAAGTGCTTTTATTCTAAGTGTGCTTCGTCCCGACTTATTATTACGCAGTACATCAGCAAGCATAAAAGTTTGCGACTTGGGACTTGTTGAGTTAACTGGGGCATCAGCATTACAGCTAGTTTTTGGCCTCACAACATGGATGTTAAATTCTAAGAAGATTATGTTTTATGCACATTTCTTATACTTTCCCAAGATATTTCATTACATCTAGTGATCACTTCGATTCACCTCCATTTCAGCATCACCACATTCGACCGGCGTAACTACACCACAATTTGTGCAACCGTGATATCTGCTTTATAGAGAGGTGGTCATATTAATCGCTTGCATTTCTAAATTTATGGGTGTAATAATAAAGTCCTTCAAATTAAGGTTGTTATTTTGCAGCATTTGTTAAATTCACGGAATAAAAGTAGAACCTTCCTCCTCTGTAAAAATAAATGTGAAAATGTTTAGCTTGTAGTTATGTTAGCACTATGTACTGTTCTGTAAACTAAAACTTTGACCAAGCCGGAAAAATTCAGTGTGGCTCGCTCTGACAATGCTCGGATTTGCTCACCTGATTTGTAGGGTCTTGGCAGAAAAACAATGCCTTTTTCTTATAAAATCTATTTTTTTTAACCATAACCTGCTCGTTCTCAAGGTGTTTAGAATGCTGAGAAGAGGTGCATTAAATACGCTGGTAAAATGAACTATTTCAGACTGCCAGATCATGCACCAACTTGCCCATGTGATTGACGGTCCGTATTAGTGAGAATTCAAGACGCTTCTGCAGTCGCTGATTTGTTACGCCTAATATTAGTCGGAATTTAAAGATAATTCGAGCTCTTTAAGAGGTCTCCTTCAAATTTTCTGGGACTTTTGTTAGGAGCATTCCACTTGGTATTTATAATGCCGCTTAATCTCCAAAATAAACATTTCAAACGGTGATATGTAATACAATAGTGGTTTATCCCTCGGTACTGGTGAGGCGCCACCTTTGTACTTTGAATTAGTCCCCTTGTACTTCGCTGGGTGGGCTGGCCTTTTGGGCCATGCCAATGGCCCAGACACCTTCTCTGCGCTGAATATATATATATTCCGCCCGAGTATTGTGTCTTCATTCGTCTTCAGGGAGTCTCGGGACGCTACAGATACCGCACCCAGTGGGTGTGCCGTGGTTGGAGACGCATTTTTGATGAGTTAATGAAAGCAGAAGTGTCTGTTAAATTAGTGAGGTTTTGAAGGAAAATGTTACAGAAAGGTTAAACTAAAAAATATAATACTACTAAAGTGGGAGCATTACGAATGATTCACGCACTTCAAATATTCTACAGACTAGTCTTAATAAATGTTCATTATCTGGATGGTTTTTATCAACCTGTTCTTACTAACTCTGCTTTTAGTTTTTTATTGTCGGCAAAGGATAATAAAATTGCTCAAAGTTATTCATTCAGTTCTATACATGTTATGAACGGGGCGGACTCAAAAGTCCATGATTTAGTCAACGGCTACTAGGCATGGGAATGATTTATTTTGAGGGAAATGATTTCCGGTATCTCGCAAAATATTTACATTTTAATTTTTAGCAACAGTCTGTCATTCTCTTGATCTTCTCTTCATAGAGTTTGCTATGTGGTCCTGCCCCCCTCTTATGTAAGCAAAAGTGCACGAATACAAGTTTCGGCATGCCTGAGAGATACGTGCCGTCTTCAAGTGGGCACCACCCGATTGATATTTTAAGCACCTCTCAAGATGTCTTGCCAAAAAACAATCCTCCCTGACTCCGAAAGGATAGAGGATTCAATTCAAAAGAAAAGAGAGGCTCGAGGTTTTCTGCTTTTTCCTTTAAAGTGCATGCATTGCTTCAAAATGTAAAGCAATACCAACGTCATTTAGGCTTCCGAGTAATCAGAATTAATTTTAGTGCACAAAGGAATGCCAAAATAATCCTTAGTGAAATAAAAGAAAAACACCTCCAGATTTATCGGTGATGGGTTTAATGCTAGTGTGAAAGCAACAGGCAGATTGAACAAATGCCCTCCAATAGGTGTTAACCTGGATTTGTGGCTTCGACAACAGCACCAAGGTGCGATTGCTTCAGGAGGAGACTGGCATTATAGCGTTTAAGATACATTGTGCTTTATAGATTTGCTAGCAGCCCGGACGTCATCCACCATTACCTGTTACGATATGATTTTTAAAATAAGAAGTGTAATTTTTTTGACACAAGCAACCATGGCCCCATGCACTTTCGTTTAATGGTCATTACTTCTAACCAGTTTCACAAATTTAAGACTAGTATATTAAAATCATAAACTTATAAAGCTAAATAAAAGCAAGTTTACATTACAAGATTTTGCACAAAATTTCATCAAATTTCTTGCCATAGATGTGGCACAATCAGGAAGTATGAAACCAAATATCATACCGCTGCTTTCTTCGAATTTTGCATTTATAGTCACACTTGAATTTCCCAATCTGAATGTAATGCAAATCCTGTTGCTTCGATCTCACGGTAGGAAAATGTGTAAGTCGTTTTTTTTCGCCGTAGATACGGGCTGCGCAAAACACGTGTTTGCATAATCCTCTAGGCCTAGCCATTGGTGGATTTTTCCATAGCCAATTGCATAGGCTCAAGGTCGTATGTAGATGCAGGACTTAATTTAAACGAGTGAGTTCGCGCACCCACACATTAGACAAGATGACTGGTTTAAGCTACTACATACCAACGACGGCTGAATGGTGTGGCTCCAGGCGATTTCAGGCTTCAGCTCAATGTACTCATAAACAATGCTTCTGCATGGACCAGGAAATATTTGGCCAGATCGCTAGAATCACGGATCACCTCTACCTAAGTAGCCTTCAGGCTCTCACACCAAACCGTCTGCGCCAACTGGGAGTAACACAGCTGATATCCGTCATGGCAGACCCAATTCCAAGCGAGGTTACAGCCCAAGTTGAAAGGCATACGCAGATCCCCGTGGAGGATATCGACTATTCCAACCTTCGGAGGCATTTCGACGAGGTGGCGGATCGGATTGCTCGTGAAGCGCGTCGTGGGGGCAAAACGGCAGTGCATTGCATGGCTGGAGTTTCGCGTTCGGCTACAATGGTACTAGCTTACCTAGTGAAGCACCAGGGGATGAGCCTCTTTGAGGCCTACAAGTATGTCCTCTCGATTAGGCCGTGCATTCATCCAAACATCGGTTTTTGGAGGCAACTGATAGCCTATGAAGAAGCTCACCGTGGCTATAGATCTATGCGAATTGCCAACGACGGTGTTTCTCACTCAACTACTTATCCAGCATCCTCAGACGGAGTGGACTGGATTTATCCCGCCACCAAACACCGGTCTCGAGGTCGGAAATATTGGAGCACCAATTAGGAAAGTTTTTGATTTCGAGGTGGCTCATTACTGAGCTTTTTGACACTAGGCTCCATTTATCGCGACAATCTGGGTGCTTTACCTTTGATGGAGAGTTTAAAGAGGAGAGAGAAAAATTGTTTCGCCGTGTATTTTTGTATGAAAAAGTGCCATCTTATGTACTTCCTCCTTTGTTTCAATTTGCATATTTACATTTACCCGGGCAATATGAGGGCACATGATTCTCAATGCTCCGCAACTTTATGCCATTTTGTGTCATTTTCGTTATTTGTAAATCATTCGAAAGACTTCTTCTTTCAGATGAACCGAAATAAATTATTCAGGGCGCTTTTGTGGTATCATATTGCCAAAATTTTAGTAACAACTCCCTAACAGACCCTAAACTGGAAAATAACTCCAAATAATATGCAATTTCATGTAAGATAGTTTTTAGAAGGAAAGTTAATTACTTTTAACGTTTGGTTAAGGGAAGGTGAGTTGAGAAGCACTGAGAGGAATTCGGGTAATCATTCAGCTCGAAAAAATCATCCAAGTTTTCTCACTTTTAATAATTGCGCCTTTTGCTCGAAATTGTGAAATACCAAAGCTTCATCACAACTTCTGTCCAAGACCTTCGAAATATACATTTTAGGCGTTTTAAGGATGCTCAGCATACTTTTGTAGCGATTTTTTGTGTTTCTCTGTAGCGTTTTAGCCATTATGCTAGGTGTATTTTAGGTTAATGGGATGTAAGAAGTGCTGAAGCGGTAATTCGAGATATGAGTATGTGCTAGCCTTGAAAAATATTTTTTCTGCTTCGCTTTTAATCGTTAAGCACTCATTTTTGGGAAATAATCAGGCAGTGTAATTGGTTTTCAACTTCCTAGACGAGTGTATATAAATTTGCACCTCATTTTGCACCATTTCCTTATTAGTCTAACGCCTATGAACACTAAACCTTGCACATTTTCCGAGTTTTTCCCACAAAGTGTAACAACTGTAATAATGAATATAAACTTGTAATTGACATGTCCCACTTGGAAAAAAGCATGATATTTGAGAACCGTTTCTCACTGCGGAGGCAGAAAATTTCTCTCTCGTTAAAGTGGAGGCTCTAGACCCTGCGTGAGATCGACGAGTATACACACGCTGGAGCAAAAGTACATCCTCGCCTCAGTTGGTGGAGCATGCGCGGCGGATCTACGTTACACCCAAGAACGAGGCTTACTGCGAGTTTGTCGGTCATGCATAAGGTGAGAAAAAAATTTGCGGATTTAGTGTTGAAGTATTATCTCATTAGATTGCGTAGCAGCCCTACAAAACTTTTTGATTTTACAAGAGGTTCATGGAGTGAAATCTCTGACGATGGGTTGTTTTACGATTTTCAAAGTCCAAATGTCATCTTGTTAGCAACCAGGCTGTCAGTAATGACCACATTCAAGGAATATTGACAGGATAGTGGAAACCGTAATTCACAAGTCGAAGATAGGAAAGCATGCATTTGAAGCCTTGGCTTTTGGGGTCAAATTGCAAACCACAAATGATAATGCTAGTCGGGAAATGTTTTAAACACGGGAACATTACCCAAGTTGCAAACAACTAAAAATGATCCTCTTTTAAGATCAAGGTAAATAATCAACTGACACTTATGTTAACTCATCTTACAAAAATGACTACTAATTAACAGAATGTGGGTAAAATTTTGGGACAAATAAAAGAGATTATTCTGCTGTCGCTTAAAATTTTTAGGCATTTTAACTCCAGCCATTTGCCGACTGATTTAAGTGTTTAATTAATGCTTTCGAGGTACTTGTGAATTCAGAAAGGATAATCGGAGCTAATGTCAATAACCTAAATCCTGCAAATGACAGACTCTATAAAGACTTACTTTCCCCACTTGATGAAAATGGCCATGCTTAATAGTCCTCGTTATTTTGCGAAGCATTGCGAATTCAAATTTCCCAGACTTGCAAATCCTCAAATACAGCATTAATTCCCTAGTGGTAGAAGCACTCGTGAAATCAAACTGATCAAAGTAAGTTTCGGAAGGACCAACTGGTTATCCGCATCCGCATTTTAGAAGAAGGATATTTTAATTAAAGTACGAAAGGTGGTGGCTTTCAGTTAGTTTTCTCTGATACGTTCTATGCGTTGGATTGGATTCTGTTGATTGTAACTCATGTTATTTACCTTAAACTAAAGTGGGCTTCGGACTTTAAAATAATACAATCTGAGCATTCTGCAATGCTACTGGACCAATATTTACAACAAAAGACATTCGGTATAAGTTCTTCTGCAAATGGGGAAACCTCTCTTTATTTACGATTGTCAGTTTGTAAGGTAGAGAAACTTAAAGGCTTTCCTACAACTCTTTAAGACTTCCCTAAGGGCGAAAGAAGACAATACCTGGGCCGAATGTGCAGTGCCGACGTGGAGAACGGCTGTTGCTACTGGCATGGAGGCCAGGCCGCCCAGCGGAAGTACACAGGCAAAGCCAAAAAAGAAAAGTTCAACAAATAATCAACGAGGTACATATCCCTACTCCCCTTGGTTTAACTTCATTGTTCGCTGTAAGAAAAACACCTACAACCCAACTACGCCAGCCATCGAATTCACGTGCAACCGACAGGATATTTGACTACAATATCACTAATCCCTCTTACTAAGCCGATTGAATCTGGAGTTACGATCTGCTTGGGAACTGTAACGGGGAAAGGGAGAATGCGCATACCGCCTCGCATGCCAATCGCTATTTGTAGTAACACTGGCCCCAAAGTTGAGTCAAATAACAAAGGACGCGATTTGCCATAGTTCCTTGGGTCTCGCCTTTACTCCTTCCTGCCACGTTATTCCCAATTCAAAGCTGCTCAGCCATATCTGGGTGGATTCTACCCAAGTAGCGAAGAAGTGGAGAGGTATTGCAAGTTAACATAATTCATAAAGCCATGGAGAAACGGTGAGCAGGTCCATTATAAACATTTTCGGATGGTTCACTGACAGTGTCGCCCCAGTTGTTAATAACACTCCTGCAGACCACGGAACTGGGGTAGTTGTCGAAAGTGAATGTCATTTTCCGTTATATATATATAACCTTCTTCCGACAGGCAAAAGTTTTACATTTAATAATGGAAAACGGGGTAGTTGCCCTTTGAGATAGGTGTAGTCTTCCACTGCTTACACGATATGATAATGGCGCTATTTTTGGAAATCGAGAGTGCGTAGATTAATTCGAAAAGAATATTAACAGAAGTAGCAACTCACAGTAAAACCATTTTCATTAGATTATGAAAACCATACAGGAGCTAGATCCAGCTCTTTTTACACATGAGGCCAAATCTGATATGAATGTGAAAATACACATAATTTTCCAAGGATCACGCAATGATTACATGCATGCAATGGTTATTTGTAAATCTATATAAACAAACGGAAAATAAATTGACACCATTTTCTGTACACACTGTGAGTGCGGGTCACAAAGAGCAAGGTAGGTTAGAAATATGTACATCCGAAAAAGAAGAGCCTTTTTAAGCAAATTTGAATACTTAGGACTTTAAACAGCCGTGAAAGTGAGATCCTGCCAGCCTTATGCTATATTGAGAGAAGAGGTCAAAAATTGACTGGAAACCATACATTTTAATTACTTAATTAAACATTAGAACATAACCTAAGTAGAGGAGAAGAACGTTGGAAAATTGAAAGTGGACTCAGAGTCACAAAGTCCAGAAAATGTGGCACAGAAAAAGAGGCAAGAATGTGACTGGTTGTCTGGTGTGGAGTATTCTGAGGAAGGATGATAGGAACGGAGAACGACCTAAGGAATTCGAATGGAGGGAGTTTGGGTCCCACTAGTACTGGCGGTGGGGCGGGACTCCGTCTGCACGCTCACCGACAACGCTGCATCCACGGTGGGTGCTCGTCCAGCCAGCACCGTCGTTGTTACCGTCGCCGTCGACTGTGGCTGCGGCGCACGCGGCGGTCGGGCCGTGTTGACACCCTCCTGAAGCGAGGTTACCATAAAAGCCATCCTGTGCATTTATCTTACAAAGAACTGATGCATGTTTAATGATCCTGGGTAGAAATAAAGCAATCAGTCTAACTTGTGCATTGGGTTACACTGGTACCACAGAAGAGTGGAATGGGTCTTAACATACTAAAGCTTTGGAAACTGATAAAAGATTGTACACTACTGTAATATCACCTCATTATCCTGCATAACACTCAGATGACTATATGAGTGGTTATATATGAAAAAGGACAAGTAGTTCCCACTGTTCTTCTTTGCTGAAATAAACAAGAAACTTCGATATCATCATCCATAGATACCTGCGGTCGACAGCATGGAGTTCTAGCGGAATTAATCAAACACATTGCAACGATTCCACAGCTGTTCATCAAGCTGTTGAGTTTGATAAAAATGTGTTTAAAATGTATCGTCGCGATTGGAGGCAACTAAGAAGTTGCAGTGTATAAAAATTATGATGAATTTATAACGGAATAGGCGTTGAAGCAGAATAAACGACCGTCAATATTCTTACCTTCCACGTATAAATAGCATGCTAATTCATTATTGATAGCATAGCCCATGACTGACATTGGGTAACTTAGATAAGTAGGCGAAAGTGGAGCCTTCGACTTCCATCTCATTTGTACTATTTGTCCACAATGACTCGAGGATGCATATAGAAAACAAAAAATGGTTTCCATGGATGTCGTAAACATTTCTTGCAAAACATCACCTAGGCAACAAACCAACATTTCCGGGCAACTACCTGGCTTATATTAAAGAAGGTCCTACTAAATTACTATCGGTTGGCAAGAAATTAAACAAATTCATTATATCTGTAAAAATTAGGTGATACCAGTACATGAAACAGATAAATGCTGCTGTTTTTAAGTCTGCTTATTTATCTTCTAAACAAAGACAGTAAACAAAGTTTTGATTTGATCATTTGAGTCAGACATTGTCCGCTGCAATAAGTCATTTGTGCCAGGTGAAAACAGAAGCCTTCTCAGGAGGTCACCGAAGCCGTGGAGCAATTGCGTTGTAAAATATTCTGCTTGTAATGGTTGCCTTTTAAATTCACACCTTCACATTCCAAAAAATTTGATTCTGGAATGATGTCTTAGTACCGTAAATGTCTTTTAAAATAGACTGAACACATTATTTAGCCCCTTATACAGAAACTGTCAATTTGTTTTGCATTAATTTACGCGAATCTTTGGGAAAATTGTGAATTTTGGATTAAAAATAAGCTAAAACTAACAATGCTTTTGCCCAAGTAGTGGAAAACTTACCGGTGAGCTACTGAATTCTCGTGGGTTGGCGAGGCTTTCATGTGACTGGGCCATTGTGTGGGAAAGTTGACTTGCGGATGGGTAGTGAGTGACGGAAGGCGATTCAATTGGAAGTCGGCTGGTTGACATATAGAGCTGACGTCTGTTAGCCTCATGAGACAGCTGATCATTTAGCATTCGTATCTGCCAATCCAAAACAAGCGAATGCTAACACACCAGTTTTCTGATTTTCCCATAGTGTTTCGCTTCGTTTAGTCATTCTGCCTTATTTTGCGGTATCCTATTTGAACTCCGGGTTTCGATAGTTCAGATTAGCCAAAAAGTAGACCTACTTGTTCTTCCAGTGTCTTGACTCTTTGGCAATGGCTCATTTCCTTAGCTTTAAGCGCCTTTTCACATTGTAGTAATGCAACGCTTTTCTTCTCTAATTCCGTTTCCATCTGGGCGTGCCGCTGTCGAAGCAGTTCGTCCAAACGACTAGCGTGGGATTCTTCTCGAAGTGCCAATTGCGCCTGTGTGAAAAAAATTTTGTGAGTTTGTTTGAATCTACTTATAATGCACGAACTCAAGATTAATCTTTTTGGAATTGTGTGACCTACGCTTAGTCGTTGAATTTGACGTCTGTAGTCAAGATTTTCTTCCTCCAGCTTTTGCGTCCGTTTGCGCACATCTTCCTGACTTGAAACAATAACCGAATTCAACTCCTTCTCACGAAGTCTTTCTCGCGTCACCTATTTGACACACACCGTCGAATAATTCGCGTTTAGTCCATTACAGGACAGACCAACACAAAATGCACTTTACATTAGTAAAGCTAAAACACAACTTATGCTGTTTAAGTCGAAAAGACAAATGCAGAGCATTATATTACCATGCAAAGCAAAATCTTATCCAAGCTGAGCTTTAGAGAAATTTACCTAAGATTACCTCTTTATAAAAATTACAAAATGGGGAAAACTTCCATTAGTCTTTTATTATTTGGGTACGATAATCATACTTTAACAGACTTCGCACAAAGCTACGTGATGCCCTAAAGTTCATTAATTTGGGTAGTCGAAAATAATAATACCTCAGTTTTACTGGCATTTCTTACATGATCCAAATTTACGTGTAATTCCTTTAGTTTCTCCTTCAAATCGCTGACCTCGAACTCAAGGTCACCTTTCATTTTTTCCCACTCCTTTCGGTTCTTCAGAAGATTATCCAACTTCGTCTGTGTATTTTCTTTTTCAACTATTTTAAAGAGTACATATGTGTAAATAAATAATATGGACAAGTGAGTAACTCAATTACTTTAGAGCCTACGTTTGATGCTAATGATCTGCTGGGTCAGGTCCTTTTGTAATATTTCCTGGTCATTTTTTTGCCGTGTGAGTTGCCGATTCTGGGCCTCGAGGTCACATCTAACAAGGTCCGCTTCTGTGAGATCGCCTTGCAACTTTTGGATGCGAGTATTCACCTGCTCCAACTGTTCCTTGCAGTCACGCAAACTGGTCTGCGTATTTTCGAGTCTCTCCTAGGGGGAATCGCATCAGCTCTATCGCCATGGATGATCACAAGAACGCTGTTTGAATCGGTGGTTCACATAAACTTTCAGAAACAGAGTGGGCCAAGTTTTCGTCATTGAAAATAACATGAAAGTACCGGTTTCAATAATGCTAATTTGGCTCTTCTAACAAACTAAATACTTTTACGGGCTTGTCAGATGACTAAATTTATGGAGATTCTAAAGATTGGGGTTTCTACACATATTAATTCAGCATTCATTTGCACAAAATTTTTACATGCTTGAAAGAAATGCTACGTGGAGTAAGATTTGCACTTGAATATTTACCAGGCAGAATAATATTCAAATTTTACTATAAATTTCTGCATAATAGTATCAGCATTCATGGATCCAGGCCCAATTACGCAATGCACATTATTTTGTTCCGGAAAAAACCGTAAATCCACATCTTATTTAACATTGACGCAGATGGTATTGATGTAAAGCAAACTTATAGATCAAATAAACGATAAAATAGAATAAAACATTAGTTTTATGAGCCAAGCCTTAAGACGCTTTCTGTTAATTTTAAAATTTATTTAAGTGGAGATTCAAAAATGTTAAATTTCCTAAAGCTCCTCGGAGGTAAATTGGGTAAAAGTAATGCTCGCTTTGGTGCTTGTGAACCTTAATTTTCACGGAACGCACATCCAAGGATTTATTTTTTACAAGTGCAACGGAAAATTTCATCCACCAGTTGCATTTCGCAACCCTTATTTATAAGACCATGATTAACAGATCAGGACGGTAGAGTGAGAAGAAGAGAGGGGCGGAAGCACACACCTGCAGGAGACGGTTGTCGTGATCCATGCTGGTCATGAGGCGCTGGGCACTGCTGAGGCGCTCTTGCAGCTGTGCGTTTTCCTGCTCCAACTCTGTGACGCGCTCGGCGAAGCGCTGAGCCTTGGTGCGCGCCTCCGACTCCCTCTGAGCCGCGTGCTCGCATTGCTGGCCCAGGCGATCGATGGCGGCGCGAGCCTCCGCCAGTTTCTCGTGCAGGCTCGACATCTCGCTCTGCGTACTCTCCAGTCTCGACTTCAGCGTCTACACCGGGGCAGGAGAGAAAAGTTAAAGTAAACTATTGTACTTACATCATTGCCCACTGGCCTGATTTCCGTTTACTATTTGCGCAGCTGCCGCTTAACGCATTGTAACTTACCTCAGTACCACTGATCTTTAGTTTTTCGGTCTCTGGTGGATTCACAGCCTCCATTCCGGCGATTTCCCGTCAAATTTTAATTTCCGCATCTATTGTGAATGTATTTTTGTCTAGGTTAAACAACAGCCCACCATCCAATATGCATTCACTAGACTGCAATTTGTAAACGGGCTCTCAAACAGTATGAGATACCAAAAGTTTTGCCTCAGTGCATCGATATTTCTAAGTGTATTTAATATATTACAACTTATTTGCCTCGTTTACTACCTTGGGCAAATACTACTTCACTGTTGTGGCCATGGATGTGTCGTGGTTAATATCACTGTCTCACTCCATCGCTACCCTAACGAATTTGTTTTGATCGACGAACGTTTACAATTATGCATCAATGTAGCACTAAAGCACTCTAAAAGTTAAAAAAATTGTATCATTGTTGATTGGCAGAGAAGATAAGGAACAAAAATCTAACAGGTTGGAAGTTTAGTTGGTTTTTTGAAGAACATAAATTCCCCAAACTAATTTAAAAAGACCACAGCGTTGCCTTGTTTGTCCCATTTTTATTCATTGTTTGGGCAATTTATGTTAAAATCAAGTAATAAATCTCGACAAAGAAACAGCATTGGTAAACTTCATTGCTTCATCCAAACCTTTAAATTAGCTAATCTCGACAAAAACACCTACACAGAAACAGAAAATCTTGCGGAATACTTATCTTTAAAGTTTTCCAAGAATTTAATCGAACCTGAATTTCGGTGGATTTATCAGAAGTAATTGTTCTCTGACGATGCAAGTCCGCTTGTAGAGATCGTCTAGCAGATTCTGCGCTCGCCAGGCGTGCTTCGGCTTCCTCTAAAGATTTTCGAAGCTCTCGCCTGTGATCCTCGGCAGCTTTTGCTTCCTGGTTCTTAGAAGCATTTAGTCGATCCTGCAAGGTCGAATTGGAATCAACTGTTGCAGGAATGATTTTGAGTGCATTTCATGCAAGTGAGGCACTTTCCTTACCTGGATGACCTTGCATTCTTCTTCCATCAATTTTAACCGACGTTGTAGCTCTTCGACACGCACAAAAGCAACGTCACGCTCCTTCTTCATTCGTCGCAGTTCTGTCTCCTTATTCAATAACTCGTCGTGCGATTTTCGCAGTTGTTCTGACAGTGACTTTTGTTCTAAAATAAAATCACTAAACCTCATCCAGAAGTTCTAAATAATCATTGTCGAAATTGGTCTGCGCTTTACCCTCTTCTATGGAGCGAAGTATCTGTCTCAGCTGTTGAGCTTCATCGGATTTCTCATTGAGTTGAGAGGTGACATTAAAGAGCTTTTCCTCATTGACATGTTTCGCCATTACTGCATCGTCCCTCTCCTTCTCCATTTGCTCCATCTGCCTCAGCACCTCGCGCAGGCTGAAGCTTACCGCGTCGGGATCCAGATCTGCGCCCAGGTGAAGAGGTGGAGAGGCCGGTGACGTACGACGTTTGAGCAACTGACCTGGCGAGTCCAGCGATTGGGAAATAATTGTTGTCCCAGTGGTAGCAGTAGTGGTAGCGGCGGCGGTGGTTACAGTGGTCTTTTGAATCACTCCACCTTCTGCTTGTGCCTCTGACCACCCTGTCGGAGGAAGATGAGCTCGCCTGTCAGCTGAATGGGATCTGGAGTCTGAGTTGTTGTGCTCTATGTTACAAGTAAAGCAAACACCATAAACGCTAAAGCAGTTGCGTAAAGTCAAGGTTTTTTGTAATTTTGCATTTCTTTCATTTATTTTAGAATTAATCACATGCACATAGTCTTTATCTTGCTTGATCTTTTAAACTAATGGTCACGGAAACAGCCTGATTTTTGGAGGCTAAATATTAAACAAACGCCTCCGAATTCGAAAAGGTTGGCTCACTTTTGTTAGGTGATATAGACCTGGAACGTCGATCGAGGTGATGTTGGTAATTGCTGTGGCCATCACAGTTGTCTTCAACCCACATCATCTCATTGTCATCAATATCGCCATTCCGTTTCTTCGAGTTTAGCATTAGCACAGGCAAGGAGCCCTGACGCTGCCGAAAACCAAGAAGTCGACGCATCAGAGAGTGAATGGAAGCTAGACGGGACTCAGCATCCATCCTTGACTCACTGGAGGCCGTCAACTCCAACTGGAGAGCTTGAAGCCGTCGTTGCGCCGATGTGAGGTCCGCATTAAGGCGAGCATTCGCCTGTTCAGAAGTCTCCAGCTAAAGGGGGTTTGCAAATATGAAAGGAGCAATCAGTGGCACTTAGTTTTACCCAGTTTGTACCTATTGTTTTGGTATTTTTGTTTGTTCTCCAATGAAGCAATACCAATTTGACTGGTTTGTGGTCATTTGACTAATTAAAAGTAAAACAGAGTGTTTTGTTTACTACCTAATGACAGTATTGTCAAGGGGAGAAAGTAGACTTTCCACACACGTCACTGAAATTATCGAATTACATCTGTGTAATAGTCAGATTTTATTATAAATATCCTAAGTAGTAAATGCCGCGTATTCCGCAAGCAGTCGGCACTTTATGGGTACGCACATTGCTTCATTGTTACAAGCAGCAAATATAACCCTGATAGGATTCAAACGATCATCTCCTTCCAGTATTACACAAAACATTTTATCAAAAGTTTTTTCCAGACACAACTTCAAGAAAATACGCAGCTATTGTCATAATTACTTAGCGAAACAATTCTCCCATGTAACTGCTCCGTTGTGTAAAAAGGTGTACACGACGGGAAAACTTGCTTAGTCATTATAGCCTCTTCAATTTTTCATTGCACTTGAGTAGACTAATGTAAATTCTATGAGAAATTTAACATAATGACACCCACGGTATTCCCATCACCACTAAAACCTCTATTAATTGACATAGCAAAATATTCGTCAGCGACTTTCAATTTTGTATTCTGCCATTACTTTGTTGATCCAGCATGATTTGACAGAGTTCTTGTATTCTAACATACCAACGCAAGCATTTGATTTTTAGTAATTGTATAATTTATGCAAAAATAGTCCATCCAGAACATGTGACTAGCGTCCTATCTTACACGTGACTGTAGGATGCGTTTGACTTCCTCGAGGCGTTTACAATCTCTATTGGCCTCTTCAGTCGACAAACCGGTTGTCCATTTATGAGCTCGAAGGCGATCTTCAGCATCAGCATGACGACGTTGTAGGCTGCCTAATTCGGTCTCCAAGTTGTGGCGCACAGCCTCTTCTTCAGCTAACTGTTTCTTCAGCATCACACATTCGCTAAATTTAAAATAGTGCATAATTTTTTTTAAATTTTACAAGACTAAGGCCTACCGTTTTACTTCTTCCAGATTTGCGATTTCTTCACCAAGGTTGGTCCTCAGTTCTGCGCACTTCTGTTGAAGTCTCGAGTTTACTAGCTCACATTCCGAGAGCTTTTGTCTCAGCTCTTTCATCGCAAGGTCGTCACGTGGCCTCGAAATTGCTAGTGGGGAGTGCATTTCCACCTTTCGGTTACGTTGCTCACATTCACTGCTCTCTAACCGCTCCCGCATCTCGTTGAGAATACGACTTTGGCCACCCCTCTCTGCCTCAAGCTCACGCATCTGACGACGCATCTCCTGGACCGTCACTTCGAGGGCGCACTTGGCGGACTCGGTCTCTTTCAGCTGTTTACGTAGGTCCACAACTTCACGACGGAGATTGTTACGGCTTTCTTCAGCTAAAATCAACATGACATGCTGAAAAGACTGAATGAAGTCATAAATGGTTTATGCTGAACTCTAATTTAAGTATAAATATGAGAAATAAGGTGATAAAAGTACCGTCATACATAAAACCTATGACTGTGAATGTAAACACGATAAGGTATTAACCACAATTTATCCATTACCTCATACCCTAGGTGCTACAGCAACTACTGTCTAATCTTTCATTATTCTATCGTTAACAAACCTAATAAATCACACACCACTATTCTGGTTATTTCATTCCCTTCTAGGTTGGTTAAAGACCGTTTGTAAAATTTATGAGGCCTCATGTTCACCTTAAATCAGACACCAAAATTAACGAAATCTTAAGCAGATACAGTTTATTTGGACAGCATATAACAAATTCTATCACAAAGAGGTCGCTAAGCCAAAAGTCATTCTGTTATCCGATTAATATGCTCCAATTATTTTAACGTTCTGCGATTCGTGTTTGGCTGATTTTAACTTAATAAATTTTTTCATTGTACGGATTCTATGCCTTGTTGATATATCCCCCATATTTACATTAATGTCAGGGGTGAACTGAAACTGAAGAGTATGGGTACCGAAGTATGCACAACAGAGAAAAAATATGAAGCGGTTATGAATAAACAAAACCCATTATTCTTTGCAATCATTTTCCATGAAAAAATGATTTATAAAGAGCTAGGTTTGCCCACTTTCTCGAAGAATTTTTGCTGTTTCGGAGTATTCAGAGCGATTGGTGTAACGTGGCTCCTCACACAATCGAAGCTGGAGTTGGACTTCATTGTACTCGTGAACGGTGCGTTCAAGGCTTGATTCCAGCGCCTTTACCTCGGCCTTCAATCCCAATACTTCCTTCTCATGGCTGGCCCTTCGAAGAAAAGTGGCTTTTTGATAGTATTCTCGCAAATACTCTATTTTATAATGAGAAATTAATGTTTGAGGTCCTAACAATGCGTCCAGTACACCGCTTGACACTTCAGAAATATTTTAAAACGAGAAAACACGGCTAAATCCTATAAAACCATCTTCATGACCGCACGGAAATTTAGTGTGCATTGACGATTGCCATCTTTCGCGTTAGAAAATGAATCAGCACTTTGGTATCATCGAAATGGCGCATTAATTTTGCTTAAAGTGGGGATTCACCAAGGTACTGTAATTTTACACTTTGATGACCTACTATTGCTAGACCGGAAATACAAAATTTGCGTTTCAAAAGATCAAGTAGCATAAATTTGTGACTACAAAAACTACAGTCTTCCTCCACATGGTCAGCTCTGGCCTCAACATAAGGTTTCAGACCTAAAGTTGACCAAAATGCAGTTTTTTGGCTCCAATTTCAGCGGTAGCCAATCAAATAAAGGAATAATTTAGGCGTATTTTACATATTAAGGAACCCGTCTGTGCATCTTTAAAAATAATTTAATTGATAGTTAATTAGGTTTTATTTAACCTATTTTCACGGCTTTCAAAATGGGCTTAATTTTTTTTTTACAACATTTTGTATCGAAAGTGTGTCATGAACGGAATTTCAGCAGCACTGTCAGATATCAGTCCTCTGCATTGTTTGGGCTTGAAATAGTCAGACAGGAAATCAGTCTAGGAGCAGCTACCTCTTAGTAATGATTATGGAAAAAGCAAACTCACTTGAACTCTTCAAACTGCTCCCTACATGCGCGCAGATCTTCGGTGGTTGTCTTTAGTGCAACGTCGTCTTTCTCTGCTCTTGAAGCCGCTTCGCGCCGCGTTCTATCAAGTGTTTTTTCCAAATCCGTAATCTGAAATGACACTTTCCTCGTAATAATGTAACTTATTGCTGTTCCTCAATTCAAATAAGCAAAATGGTTAACCGAACAGACGCACCGTCTCTTGAAGAAGCAAAATCCGCTCCCTTACAGTTGCGTGATCTTCCGCGGCAAGTGCCAGAATTTTCTGGCGTTCCTGCTCAGCCCGCATTAATGCGTCGTCTCGTTCTCTTCAAGGAGGATCAAATTAAGCTCGCGCTCATCAAAATTCCAATTTTTTTACCCAAAATAATTCATCTCCAGCATTAGCTTGTGGAACTTTGAGGTAGGTTAAAAACTTTGCACGCAAGATCCATGCAAAATTCGCTACTAGGCAAAGATATTACCCTTCATACACTAGATTGAAAATCTGAAAATGCGATAGGCTGCACCTAGTTATACTTTAAAACCGCTTTTCTATAAAGTGTGACGTTCATACCCGTGACATACAAATCTAGTAGGTCTAGAAATAATTTACCTATTCATATTCAAAAAAGGAATTTTCGCTGAAATTTGCTTTAATTGACGCAAAGATTATTAAAAAGGTACTAATCAAGTTATTGCATTGTGCTTTGTAAACTCTCCAAAGTTAAGATCTATAGAACCTTTGTAAGTGTTAAAGGGAAATAATTCATCCGCACTTTTGATATTTATAAATTAAATACCTATTCGTAGTCATGGGTAAACTCTATTTCCAATCACAAGTAATTTATAATGTTTATTTGAGGTTTTTAAAGTGATTGCGCCTTTTGTGCGGAATAATTAACAAGAGTGCTCTTGTAAAGCCTCGCAGAACTTGCCTCTGCGCCAGAAGGAGTTCGTGATTCAGTCTCGCCTGTTCCTCCGCCCACCGTTGCGACTCTCGTTCACTCATTCCATATCGACCTGCCTCGAGTATGGAAGCCTTCGTTGCCTCTGCAGCAGCTCGATCCGCCCGCAGAACTGCCTGCACCGCGGCCTCTAGAAGGCGAAGCCATTGCGAATCATGCTTCCACCATCAACTACTGATTTAACCGTGAGTAGCCACACCGACTTACCTTCAGCTTCTGCAAGTCGTTGTTCAGCTGTAGCTAGATTAGCTCGCAGTTCTTCTACTTCGGCCGTGTATTTAGCTCCTAGACGGTCCCGCTGACGCTGAATTTTGCTCAGTTCCGTCTCAAAGTCACTTCTCAAGCGCTGCACCTCGGCTGTTAAGATTATTAACCTCATTATTAAACCGTGGAAGGGGCGGAACAGTAATTAGGAACAACTGACATGCCTTGAAGGGTGTTTCGGCGAAGAGTAAGATTAGCAATATCCGTTTCCTGCTTCTCCGCCTTGTTCTTTAGCTCAGTGATCTGACGTTGAGCCAAAAAGGCCTCGTTGTCCAAGACTTCTCTGTCCGCCCGAAGCCTGGCCACTAGATCCGAAAGCTGTCTGCGTTCTCTCTCGTTAAGCGACAGCTTTATTGAAAAAATAGTTGAAATTACTGAGAAAACAATAGCATTTGTTGTACGGGTAAATGTGGAGTAAAAAGCATGTGATTTTGTTGAATGATATCATAAAAAATTGACCATATGAAGGTAATAAAGTCATCAAATAGCCGGTACTGGAGATTCCTTCAAAAATTTCCGAGGAATTGCCCAGTTTTTCAATCACATCATTTTGCAAAATATCTGCATTCCTCAGCATATTCACTTTACAAAGTGTGCTTAAAAAATCATAAACTACTGCGCTTGCAGGACTTACTAGGTAAACATTATGCATTACAATAATTTTTAAAAACAGAAAGACACTAACTGTTGTGCTTAATTACGAGTTGTCTTAAAATTGCACAAAAAATATTTCTTGTAGAAAGTTGGATAAAAACACACTAACTCCTTTAGTGTACGATACTTTAGATTCTGGAGAAGGACATGTTTTTCAGCAGACATTCTCTAGGCAAACATGCAGATAATGAACATTTTCGGCATGTCTATTTAATTTCTTATGAGTGGGAAGGACGTTTTTATGGCCAAAAATGAGCATTTTGCCTACTCGTGAGGAGAGATCGTCCTTGTCTCGCATCATTTCCTCGCGCTCTTCATTCAGTCGAGATACGACCCCTGCCTGTTGTCCCACTTCCCTCCGCAGTGTCTCCGCCTCTTCCGTCAGGTTGCTCACCTGCCTATTGGCCGCGGCCACCTCCTCAGCAAGTTCCGCCCTCTCTCGATTAGCTCGCAGCGTCTCCGCTTCAGTTTGCAGGTGCTGCTGCTCCATCCGCGCCAGAGTCTCCCTCAGACGCTCCAACTCCGCCGAACTCAGTTGCAACTCCGCGTCGGAGCGTGATAACTGGTTTCGCACCTGCTGTACTTCGGCACGTAGGTGGTTGCGCTCTTCCAGCGCTCGTGTCTCATTAGACGTGGAACGATTAAGCTGGAGTGTCAACTCCGACCGCTCATATTCCCTCGCCTCGATTATCGATTCAAGGCCGATCACTTTGTCTTGCAGCTTCTGCTTCTCTTGTTGAATCTGAAACGACAAAAATCTTTGCAATGGCGCCTGTAGTGATACCATTGATACTGCAGTTCACGCCAGTTCCCTCAATGTTTCTTAATTAAATATGTAAAGTTTGAGGTTTCCTCCTTAGGGCTAGATGTAGCTGGCTAATAGTGTTGAAAAACCTTCAGCAAGCTAATATGTGCGGTAATCTGAGCATATTTGCTACTAAACATCTTATTTCAATGATTTCGTGGGCTGAAATTTTGTTCGAACGCGTTTTCTCATATAACGCGCGCCGAATTCTGAATGAAACTGTTTCACACTTACTAGCCCTAGTAATGAAGGCCTGAAGTGTGGTTCAAATAAAAAATTTGCTCGATATATAACACATACTCATAATAAGAAAACATCGGTTTCCCTCATTAGGAATCAACCTTTAAATATTAGAGTAATTAATCAAAATCCTTACTCTTCTATATTTGTCACTGCTTTAAACTTGAAGTTCATTAGAATCACTTATACTTATCATCTCCTTTGAAGCTAGAGGTAAATTTCGACCATTCTTTCAATGAACACTGCGATGTCCTCTAATGATTCTTCCATCTTCAAAAAAAAACACTGATTACTAATTCCACATCGTAGTTATCAGGAATGGACTCACTAAGTCAAGCTGCTCAGTGAGCTCGCTGATTCGACGCTCCAAACGCTCGAGTTTGCCAGTGACCTCGCTGTAGTCGTTGGAGAGGGTCGAGTTCCGCTTCTCCAGCTGTTCTTCCGCGCTGTGCGCAGCGCTCAGCTCCTCCCTCAACTGCGAAATCCGCGTCTCTGCCTGTTCCAGCGTACGCTGGAGGCGGGTGGTCTCGCGTACCTGTGGGGCAAATGCGTCGATCGCTTGATCGGTCTGGGAGTAAACTCGTGTGTCGGTGAGTGGGGAATGATGCGGGTTTTGAGACGAAGTCATCCACGAGTGCAAATTAATGAAGGTCTGCAGCAAGACTTATAGCTTTTGTGGTCCTAAGCTCTATTTGAAACAGCTGTCTCTACTTGGAGTTTTGGTTAAAAATTTAGACTTTCGGTTTCATGCTATTATTTTTTGCTTTTGATCCATACCAAATGCACCCGATCGAAACAAATTTAGATCCTTTTTTAGGATGGATTAAAGTAGTTGTTAACATTTGTTCATCTTAGCAGAGACAGTCTTCATTAAAAAGTGATCAGCCGATTTCTTCTGTTAACCCACATCTTCACAACTAGAACCTAGATCTGTTCGAATAAAAATGGACGATTAGAGCGACTTATCGACGAGGCCATGCGGTAGACCCGTTCACATCGGTTTCATAACACCGGCAAATTTTACTCTCCCTCTGAATACAATAATGAAATAGAATTAATAACTTCATTTACCATGCGATTGTTTTTGGCAATTGATTCCTTGTTTTTCCGTTTTGATGCTTCGACTTCTCTTTTGAATCATCACTCTCTTTTATGAGTTTACTTAGTTTCGAACATTAAAAGCAGCTTAAATAACCAGATAGTCAAAAAAAGCACTACTTTCATAGAGTCTCCCTCAAAGTGGCCTTTCGCCATGTAGCTGCCCAAATTTAAGCAGACATTGTTCTCTTAGTGAAATGCTTAATAAGTAGTAATGATGTGGGCCTTATGAGCATCTCTATAAACTTCTCTACCATTTCACTGCTTTTAAACCTGCGATTTACTTGAAAAGTAATGCTGTTAAGTTGTGCATAAGTATTTATAGGGTGAAAAAGCCGTTTTCTCCAATAAACAATGGATAATAAGAGTTCTTTTGTTCTCCTGAGGGTACTCATTTTCATCTTATTTTATAATAGTCCCAGTTTTTTTCGTTGATGCGAATAAATGTCCACTAATTGACTGGGGAAATTCGTAAATAATGCGTTAAGAGATGATGATAATAGTAGTAGCCCCCTAGGTGAGCCGTAACTATGGGGCGGTGTTAGGGGTTAGGAATGCATGCGAATGAGAAGTCAAAATGTAGTAAATGACAAAGTAACCTACCTTGCTCTCATATTCCAGTTGTTTGGCGTTGCGTTGTTCTACAAGACCATCACGCTCCTTCGAGGTTTCGTAGAGAAGTTGTCGAAACTGTTCCAGCTCCGCCTGAAGCGAATTAATTTGCTCCATGTTGGTGGCTCGCGCTCTCTCCAATATGTTCCTCTCCTCTATGGAAATACTGCAAAAAAGACTTCTAAGTTTGCAAGCCATGCTTTGATCTTTATAAACACTGAATTGTAGAAAAGAACTCCTGAAAATTTGGAATTCTGGAACATCATTAGTGTTTTTGGTTTGGAAATGGCTTCATTTGGTTTATGTGATACGAGAAGAATGTGTTGCCACTTATAAGTGACTTTAATTGATGAATTTGTGCAACCTCTAGTACTGACAACAATCTACCGCTTTTTCTGGATTCTTATTGTTTATTATGGAAAATTTGTCACATAATCACACAAGACTCTATCATATAAGGCTCTCTATGCATTTTAACGCAGACTATATTTCTATTTATTTGATTTTTTATTTTCTCAAAACATTTATGTGTGCAGTTTGTTTCAAGTTATATGACCCGCGGCGCAGATCAGGCTACACACATCTCCACACCTGAGAGCATGTTTGATCTTGTCCCTTTCGACGCGCAAGGAGTCGACTTCTTTGCGTACGAGGTCAAGGTCACTCCGCAGGTTGCCTGCATGCTCCACAAGACGCGTCCTTTCCCCCTCACTCTCCTCAAACCGCTTGTTCATTCCCTCAAAACGGCCTCGCAGGCTGGAGAGCTTCAGCCTCAATGCCTGCACCTAAAGGCCACTTCCAAATTAGCTTTCCACTCTATTAACAGTCAATTTGGGAGGAGGTGAAAGGGCACGACTCACCTGCGTTGCACGCCGATTGAGGGCTGACTGAACCGCACTCACCGTGGTCGCGGCCAATTTGAGGGGAGGTGCAATGGACGGCGATCTCGGTAAGGCGAAGAGAAGCTGAGGTGAATGGTGCTCACTCGACGGAGAGGTGGACCTTGGACGCCTGGAGCGTGGTGTGACGAGGACACCGGCCTCGTCTTCTACCCAATCACCGGTCTCCATTTGATGTTGGAAGCTCACCATGAAAGGCTCCTGCGCCTCATCGACGTCGGCATTCGCTGTATCCGCAAGGACGGTCTGGGCAGCGTATGGTGTTGGGAGCATATTTTTTACGCAGACGGTACCGACTAGTTTAGTACTGGTACTGCTTGTAGTACACTGAACCAAGATCTAATGGCTGCTTACACAGAAGTGGAACTGACTCCAAGAAAAGTAAAAGCAAGTTACTAATTTTATTTGCATACATGGTAGTAGTTTACATTAAATACCTCCAACAAATTGGAGGGACCTAAGAATTGATGATTTTATGAATGGTGAAATTAATAGGCTTTCTTTACTACAATAACACATTTCGGTTAGGAGGTAACTCAAACAGAGCTGTCTGATTTTTAAATCCAAATATTTTGAATTTGTGACAGTTTCCTCTCCATCACTTGACTTTAGAAAACTTAACATTTACAAGAAAATTGATATTTTGCCTAGGAATTTATGTTTTCTAACAAGTGTACTTTAAGGATAAAGATCTTATTCATGACATTTCTGTAAAGTGTATCAAATTGCCCAGATATTTTGCTATGGCTAGTAGATAAAGTCTTCGCGAGCATATTAAAAAATGGGACTCTAAAAGGATTGCACTGAAAACCTGCTGTAGATTTTACATTCTAAGAGTGCTGGAATATTTACTTGCTCTCGATCTAAATACGGAAGTGTTCAAACAAAAAAAATTAACTAAAACAATGGCTCAACGTGAAAGGGCCTTGAATGGAAGAAAATCTGCCAAGAATTTATGTACCTGAGCAATTTGAGAAAGCGCCTGATGCATTGCACGTGTTTGCTCAATTAGACGTTTTGTCACCGCTACTGGATCCTCCCCAGCCGGCTCTCCTTCCGCATCCGAATGCTTCGGAGAAGGCAGTGATGCTCGAAGTCTTTGCAATGTGTTTAAGACACGATCCTTGTCTGCAACCTGTTTAATTGGTAAATACTTAGCCTGGCATTCATTCCAACCAATCTAGATTAATAAGGGTCTCAATCGGTAACCTGAAAACGTATTGGGTGCACTATTGGGAAAGGATACTTACTTCGGCCATAAGCTCTTGGACACGTCTGTTGAGTTGCATGATCTGATCCTCGGCTTCCACCAATCGGGCTTGGCTACGTTCCAAAGACTCGGCCAGTGATTGGCTACGCGCTTTCGCGTCCGCCTCCTCAGCCATTAGCTGCCGTCGACTCTTGGCCAGTGCGTCGGCCGATTCCAATTCAGCGGCTTTGAGGTTATTGCCCAATGCGGAGCAAGCTGATTGCAGTGATTGACCCGTTCGCATTATCTCGCTGCTCATCTGTAATAAACAACTGCTTATTGGGATTTGATAAATAAACCATTGTGAAGTTCGCCAACGTTCTGTGTGCTTAAATCACTAAAAATATATAAATAATCAACCTTAGCACGAATTCCCAAAAAGGAGTTTGGTTTCAGTTAGTTTTGGCAATTGGTGCATCTCTGCTAATAATTTAAGTCCACGTTTTGCATGGGATTTTGTTCTCACAATTATAGGCTGTAAGATATTGTGAGCCTGCTCACATGTATTCCACTTAAAATGTGTAAGGAGAGAACCTTACTGCATAATTATTCCACCTATTTTTGTTTTCTAATAAGTGAGGGAACAAATTTAAATTAGCTAGTAAATTTTGGATCGTGTAAATGGGACAATTTTTTCCAGTCAAATTGAGAGTTCCATCTATGTATATCGGTAAAGCACGTGAAGATCAAACCTTCGCTGTTATTGGCAAATACGGTATTTTGCTGCAGGGCTTGTTTACCCGTTAAGAAATAGCGAAAGGCCGTTGCCTTACCTTTAACCATTTTCAGCCATAAATCAAGAGTTTCACTCAAGGAGTTAATGCACGCTTTTGTTTCCTTCTAAACCCACAAACGTGCTTATTTTTCTGAAAATTCTTTGAAAAGACATAACCTGGAATACACTTCATCAGTAAATTCATAAGCCTAGAAGTGAATATAGAATTTGTAGAATTAACTTTGCTTAGTAGAACTCGCAACGCAGCAGCGATGTTTGTGCCTTTGTTGGCGCAAAGGCTTTGCGTTGATGCAATTCGGATCTGATTTTTTTAGCGCAACCATGTCAAATGAACTGACATTCCGAATATCTAGCGCCAGTGTGTGGTAGTCAGGCCAATAAAGACTAGCCTTTGGCAACTGAGTTACAATCGCAATGCTAGAACGTAGTGCCAAGAATGTGAAAATAGGCTTTAATTATTACGAAGAAATGTATTCAAAAAGAAATTACCTTTGTATTATGAGTGAAATTAGATAAAGGTGCGTCATTTACTGAACGATCTCCCTTCTATATGGATTACAAGTAAATTCGCAGAAAAATCAACCAACGAAAAGTGTAATAATCAGAGGAATTTGTTTTAGAGCTAGCTTTACGTCAAAGCGAAGATGAACCGCGTTTTGGATGCACATAAATCGAAAACTTCGGTACACCATCATACACAAACAGTGATGCAGAATTCGCAGCTGAAATCAGTTAATTAAAATGGGGGCAGTCGAATCACATGCAAATGGGTACATGAAAATGTCCGTATTGCTGAGATTACTAGTGACCCCCAGGTTTAAAGAAGAAGAAGAAAGGAAGGAGTGAGAGGAGGGAGTGGAGAGGAAGGAGCTCACCTGTGTGAAGTCACGAGCGGTGTGGTGGCGCAGCTCGGCGAAGGCACGTCGCAATCCAACCACCTCACGCCACAGCGCCAGCAGGCGATTGTGCTCCGTTGCGAAGTACTCGTTGAACGCTGTCTCCTCGTTTTGCCAGTCGACCTCACGTTTCTCCAACTGCTGTGTGGCCTGACGCCAAGCCTGAGTCAACTGCGCGACGTCCCTACTCAGACCCTTTGCGAATAAACATGGCTTACATCAATGTCACTACTACGCAACCCACTGTTTTAAAAGGTGTTTCACACTAGTTTACTTATACGATAAGCATGAATAAAAGAGTCCAGTCTATGCACTTAAGGATGGAAATTGGATGAGATTCAACATTGGTCTGACAATTAATGCTACCACGTGTATACAATTTTACAGTATTAATATATATTTTTCGAGTTTACACACGCTCTAGGATCACCACAGAAATAGTTATTCCTCACAATCTTATTTATTTTCAGTTTCAAGTATTAAACCAGAAGTGCTTTTATATCAGCTAACATGCTCTTAACTGCACAGCATATTTGTTTCCTAAAACTAACAATTTATGTCAAAAAGTTGCTTTGAGGCAGTTTTTTGTAAAATTAAGGCACAAAATTATAAAATTGTTTCTTAAATCATGTTAAAGGGGCTTTTATAAATATAACAAAACCTTTTGTCCCTTCTATAATTTAACTGCACCGAGAACTGTTTGATGAAACCTCGGACTGAAAGCCATACCTGATTTGCTGCAGCGGCCTCCTCCAGTTGATCCTGCAGGACCTCATTCGCACGTGAAAATTCAGCCGATCTGCACAAAATGCAGCGTTTAGCTCGTGTTACATCACTTGGTAGCCAGAAAAAATACACACTTATTCCGTTCCGCCTCTAGCGTGCTGGTAAGATTTTCCAGTTCTGCAATCAAGCTTTCCTCACGCATCTTAGCCATACTTTCACGTGCATCCAAGCGGCTGTCATGTTCCATTTCCTTGGATTGTAACTAAGGCAATTCAAAACATGAGTGTTTTACTACTCAATTTAACTCAGTAGGGGACAATCAAGTATGAATCAAAGCAAGTATACCTTCTTTGCGTTCTTTTGAACCTCCAGCTTGAGATCTTCCACCTCCATCTCCAAATCAGTATTCTTGCGCTTGTATTGTGCCAACTAGAATGCAAAAGTTTAATTAGCGTTTCACATTTAGAAACTTAAATTTGGTTCAAATTAGAATCAAAATTGCCAATACGCCAAACTCCCGGGAGGCTCAATTTTTCTACTGATAGGCTCTCACTCAAAGAGAGTAGTGATAAATTTAAAGAAGGAAAGAAGCCAATCAAATCTGGTGATTCAGCGGCGCTGGGAACGCCCAAGACAGGTAGGCGAAATTGGGCGTTGCAACAACTTCTCACGCCCCCCATCTTGAATATTTCAGCAGGATTTCGTGATGCATGAACATGCACGACACTGACCGCGTTTGACATCATTGATTAGGCATCGTCACCTTACGGGCATAGGAGGATGTTTATTGGTCTGAGCATGATCCAAAGGTATTAAAATTGTTGGCACAATTTGGTTACGATGGCTTACTTTGTTGATTGATCAATCAGGGGTCATTAATAATAAGCCTTTTACGTAGTTTAATTAGAAACAAATAGAAGTTTGGATTTTGAAGTGGAATGTTTAAGTGAACTAGGCAAATATAGCTCTCATCCAAGCCTCGCTATCTAACGTGTGGTCGTATTGCATTTACTACCAACTTCGCAACCAGTATGCTTCATCCAAATGCATAAATGTGTTTTCTTGCTGCTCAGGGATGTGGTAAAATCACGCCGTTAAAATAAATTTGCCAGACATGTGCATTCAGATCGCAAATCAAATAGCAGCGTAAGTAACAGCAGATTATCCATAAGCTTGAATAATGGAGATTTCCTAAGGGCCGATCCATGAAATATTCGCAAAATGCGCAACCATTTTATAGGAACCGCTTTATACAAGATATACGCTTTCTTTAAAATTTTATAATGGTTGCAAATAATAATAATATAATAATAATAAGACGACCTCGTCACTTTGCGTAGACTTTATTTGGCAACGACAAACAGAATAGAACAATTCACCTGCCCCTGAAGGGTTTGAATTAGTTTTTGATGACGCTGATTGCCCTCCTGCAAACTTGAAACTTTTCGTTTGTTCTCCAACAGTTCGGCTTCAAGAAGTTGTATTCGAGTCCTTGTCGGAGAGTTCATGCTTAGAACTGGAGACACTTCTGACCCTCGACTTGCCGGTGGTAAATCCACACCCTCCGACTACAACAAAGATGAAGTCTCGCGAGGATTACAGTTGCACAAATGAAGTTTACTCGGCCTTGACCATCGGACTGACTACTGGAATTTGTTGGTCAAGTGTGGATAGCTAGTGGTTTTATGGTTGAAATGAATTGATTTTCGCGTGGATTGTTATGTCTACCATAAGTTGTGCCCTTGAGGAAGGGGTAATTCCATTTGATGGCTGCTGCACGATGCGTTCACCTCACCTTCGGGGGCAAAGCCCGCTAAGTCGAGGGTGTTTGTGAATGCGCAATCATTCAGGAAATGTTCTCCATGCGACCACGCCTCTAATGAGGACTATGTCCTTTCCCGGAAACCGCCACCATTTAGGAGATGTTTAAAAACCTGCATGTGTGTATGCAAAAGCACATAGTTCTCCGAAAGGGTGGAATCTGCCCTACATTTTTCTACTTAACTCTGCCATCGAGTGTTAGAGATCCACAAGACTAGCTGAAACATTTTTCCCTTCTCGTGAAAGAAATTCAAGTTGTTCATCTTTGTTGTCACGTTATTTTCATCTATTTAGTAATAAACACACCGACATATTATAAACAAATGGCTTTGAGGAGTTTCGACTTTTTCTTCAATGACAAGGCTAGTGAACTCCACTAAGCCGGTTTAATATTCATAAATTACCCTGTTAGTAGGTCAGATAAAAGCAGGAAAAGAGAAAACCTGACCAATTTTCTCTAAGAGTTGTTGCGACTCTTTTCAAACTGATAACCATTATAGAAGAAATTTACATTATATGTGATTGCATATTAATCTATTTGCTAATATGCGGTCTTTTACTGCATGCTAGATGAGATGAGTTTACACCTCATTATGCACGGTTTATTTCTCACTCATCTTTCCTAGTGCCCTCCACCAAAACTGCTCATTTATGCTTTTGACGAATTTACAATCAAAATAAACCTGGTTCACTTTATCGCTGTACTATCCTTTTAGCTTATGAAGTTTTTGAAAATGATCTAACAAAAGTAACCCTTGCGGTCTTATCTTGTCTATTTAGACTCGGGACTCACGAGAAATCGCAAAAATCTTTTTTCAAATTTAAATTAGATGGGTACGTCATTTCCGAAAATGATTAATGAGAAGGATTGCCCGACTTTATTTAGTAATTCTTAACTCGATTTGTCTTTTAAAGCTTGAATGCATGCATTTCGAAGTTCCACTACCTTCCATTTCAAAAGAAATGCAGTAAATTAGATGCCTTGGCCATAATTTTAGCTTAATTGCAAAAACTACATTCTAGATGAGAATGCTGCCAACTCGAATAAAAGAATTCCGTTTTTACTATGGCACATACTTGCATGCACATATGTAACCAAAAAATTTATTCAAAATGCCTTATCATGGCTCCTTCTTAACCAAATATCAAAACCTGGGCTAAAATTTGATCATTCCGCTTTTAAGAACAATGATCTTTCAAAAATTTTGTTTTACAAGTAACCAGCCTTTGAATGAAATTTGTCGCGACAAATCGCAGTCATTATTAGATCGTACTGTATGTATACTTTACTTTCATCAAGCCTAGGTTAAGTATTTTGCGTGTTTAAAAAATTGCTTGAACTTTGTTTAAAATCTGTAAACCTCTATGACTGTGTGAACTTGCCAATTTCCTAAAATTAGTTGTTAACACAATGCACCCTCAAAAAGAATTTATGTATGATGCATGGGGGTGATGGTTATTAAAACCTCCCATCAGCTAAGTAATCTTATTCAATTGAAAGACTATATTCAAAGTTTACTTGATAAAACACAAAACTATGTTTGCCTGCCAACCCGCTTAAATTACAGATTCTTTCCAGAGTGATAGTTTTATTACTAGCATGCACTCACCAGCTATCGCAACTTTAATTTATTTGAAGTGGCTATCATTAACATCAATATTAAATTTTATTTCGTACCAATTCAACACGCAGCATTTCACGTTGTAGTCGTTGAGACTCCGCCAGAAGACTTAAAGGCTCAGGGTTCTCAGATCGGAACTTGGCACGGCTGTCAGTAAATTTCATATTTTGAGTTGTAAGTTCTGCAAGTGCAGCAGTGTCCCCTGAATCATCCCCCGGAGTTGGTGTTTGATGTGGTGTGCTACTGCTTGTCTCACTAGCAGACATCGTTCAAAATAAGGATACGCATATAAAGCTCTAAAATATCAGAAACACTTCGTGAACCAAAATTATTCTGTACCATACATAAGTATCAAGTAATTTGGAAGCAAAAGCATGTAAAAACAGAACCTAAATTACAAGAAAGGTATTGAAACCTTTGCAAAGTGCAAATCCCCAATTTGTTGCGCAAAATAGTCCTACTAATAGATCGAATAAAGGGAAATTTTTGGTCGTACATGCGTGAAAACCAGACAGTAGTCTTCAACATCAACCGCCAGGCTAAGATTTTTTACAAAAAAGGCAAAAGGGTACAGCTAAAAGAGACGCTTTAGGAGATAATTATCAGGTAGTGTAATGAATAGCTTTACTGTTTCATATATGCGGGTGTGTACAGTTGAGCGTCCACTACTTAATGCTGGAAAGTTAAAACAAATCAAAAATTAGACCAAAAGGCACTCACAAGGACTCTTACAAAAAAAAAATTATTAACGTTTTACAATTATTAGTGGATAATGATGCCTTCCGATATTTTGAACAATTTTGTTAGCACAAGAATGCGGAGGCAAATGTGCTAGTTTAATTACTTAGTTGTTATTAAATCTTGTGCGCCTACCCCCATCTCACATCCATTTATTAGCTTTGGACTACACAGCCAGCCAAAGCTCCCTGGCTTCGCACCCCTAATCGCGGGGAGGGACTCACGGCCATCCCCCCCCCCAGCTCCCAGTATTCTTTGAACACCCCGGTTGATTTAATTTTAACATTTATAAGAGGGCAATAGTCGGGAGAAAAAGTACAAGGTTTGGGAAGGGGAGGAGCCGCGACTGCTCCTAGGCACGGGAAGCGACAATCCCACCGCCGAACCCGAATTACGAACTTGCCTATTCCCTAAAGGGTGTATTAAAACAACATAAGTATTGCGAATTATTATCTGGATTTTAACACTCTATATTAGCATCGCAAAGTGTTTGTTTTCAAGAAATAAACATTGTATTTATTATTTAAGTTAAGGTGGTCAGGAAGATGAGATATTAATAAAGAACCTCGTAGCCGAAAATTTTAACACAGAAATTCAGTTACATCACCAGGCAAAAGTATAACCTAAAAATTAACGGAACTTGTATAGCAAAGAAGCAGTTATAAAACAATTATTTTCCGTATCATGTATGGCCGAATAAATTGTGTTAATATTTATAGCTCTAGACCATTTCTGTGATGATGTTAAAGGCTCTTGTTTTACCTTTATATGTTTAGCTCAAAAAACACCTTGATTAACGCCTTTTAATGCTTAAATCTTCTTCATGCACACTTAGGTCGCCTTATGTGTTTAACTAAACTGTTTGACTTGCACCCACATATTGCATCCAATCGAAGTTTAATACGTCTCTGGTAAATTGTGACGTTTAGTATTAGCGTCTTTTACTGTTAGTTGAAACTGGTTTTCCACTGCATCAGCGATTGATTTGCAGTTAGGTTTACTTTTTGTCCCTAAAGATATATTATGCTGTAACCAGTTCTGTCAACTGCATAGGGTTGTTTTCCTGTAAACGTTGTCTATTACCGTGGGCATTTCGTCTGCTGATTTATCACTCTGGCTTATTTTTTTAAGGTCGTGTATTGGATTTTGTAGTCTAAGTTTTTAGCTTGATTCGTGCATACATTTCTCAATGTTTTCCACCATCTTTACTAGGTTGGCAGTTTTGTGAGAACTATATAGTTTGCTTGTGTCCCTAGTTTATTCGTTAATATCAAGATTGTACCTTGAAAACGGATGTACCAAATTAACCGTCTTGTAGTAGTTTTAAGTATTAGCAGAATTAAAGTGATTTTGCATTTGTATAGTGATGCAGCGCATATTTGTAAACCTCTGTCTTTACTTATCTCTAGTTTACCGTCCAAATGAGCAGTTCTAGTCGATTTACAACGCTTGAGCGGTCTCTTAACACCCTTGGAGTTGATGTTGTTGTTACCGGTGCCTCCAGCTCTGGGTCTAAAAGGAAAGGGAATAAAAAACGCTCCAAGAAGGCGAAGGCCGTCGTCATCGCTACTTCTGAGGATAGTGCGGCAGTTGCAGCTGTCGAAATGAACGATGAAGGATGGATAGAGGTGGCATCCAAAAGGTCCAAGTCCAACTCCTCTCCGAGGGATGACGAGGCTGCCATTCCTTCTGCCGTTGCTATCACTCCCACTCCACCCTCTTGTCAACTTGTGCAGCTGCCGGAGTGCAATAAATCGGCATCTAAGAAGAAGCGTCGAAGATCTGGTAGGCTGATAACCATGCGTCTCTTTCTCTTAGCAGTGACGTTGTTTTTGTTAACGTCATTTTTTTAACTTCCTTAGACAAGACCAAAGTCTCTGAATCTTCCTTTAAAGCATCGGAAGCAGGTCCGATTCCATCGCCTACACCACAGGCGTTGGTGCCGAATGATCTCCTACAGGACGCACCGCAACTCTCCGAACCAGCGTCGCCTCAACATTCGCCTCCTACGACTCAGGGGAGTCATGAGAAAGCTGATGCTCTTCTCTATGCTTATGAATTGGAGTCCATTGTCTCCGAGGTGCTCGGCAAGGAGGCCGTCATCAAGGCTCGCACCGCCTTTCCCACTCTCACATTTTCGCAACCACCTCCTATCACCACCGCTCCTAGTGATCTCAAAAGGGTGCGTCTCTCTCCTGTCATTCGCGCAGTTCTACTATCTCTTATAATCAGATATTGAAATGCTTTTGAAGTGGGTTTTTCCATGGGCTTAGATTAGAGCCATAATCTTTATCCTTATCATTCCTTTCAGCCTTAACAG